AATTTATTCAATATAGTTGAACCAAAGTTACCAGCGAGAGCTCATAGAGTTCAGAAAAGACATTTTCAGTAGTAAAAACTAAAACTAGACGAAATACAGTTTTTTGAAATTTAAAAGCATTTGACTTTTAGGCAGAAATTAAAGCTGCTGTTAAGATTTGATAAATCTTATGGATTTCTCAAAAAAAATAAAATGTTTATGGATTTTTTTTCAAAAAAAAAAAAAAAACACTATATTGATCAAGCAAGCATTTATTAAATGAAAAATGTGCAGGGAAGAACTCGTTCATATGGTTGGGCCCAATACCGAGAGTGATCATAATGAACCCAGAACATATAAGGGAGATATTTACAAAAATCTATGACTTCCAAAAGCCCAAATCAAACCCACTAGTCAGTTTACTAGCAAATGGACTGGCAAGTTATGATGGCCATAAATGGGCTAAACATAGAAGGCTTCTCAACCCAGCATTCCATCAAGAGAAATTGAAGGTAAATATTTTGATTTCTTTATTTCATTTAGGAAAGTTTTTGCTGGTCCTTTTTGTTTTAAGCGATTTTAATTTGGTCTAAAACTTTTTTATTTTTAATCCATTGAGTCTCCAATGGCCAACCTCCAGTATTTTTTTTTTTTTTTTAGTTAGAATTGTGCTCTTTTGAATCTCCTTAAATTATATATAAGTTATATAATAAGAGATAGTTCTCTTCACACTTAAATTTCTTTTTCAATTGTGTCAAATTATTAGACGTGTAACTTAGAATTTTAACATTTTACTAGTTCTAAGATGTGCTAAAAAGTTCAAGTTAGTAGTAAATTTTTGCCCCCAATTTTAGTTGGTAAATGAATGAAGTTGTTCTGTTTAAAGAGATGCTTGTTTGGTGAAGCTTCTTAGAGTTTTTTAGAGTTTCAGTTTTTTGATATTATTTATGTTTTATAAATTTAAATTTTCCTCTTAAAACATATATTTTTTAATTTTTTTTAAATCTTAAAAAAACTTTAAACAGTAAATTTTGAAAAATTTCAAATTGTTACTTTTTGTAAATTTCCTTTTTACTCACTTCTTACTATTTTTAAAAACAACTTTAAAATTTTTCTTCCAATAAAAATTTAAACTTATAATTCATAAACAATACTAAAAAAATAAAAACTCCAAGAAGTTCCACCAAACAAGCCCATAATCATGAACCATGTCAATTTCCTTAACGAGCTCATTTTCATGTTTATTTTCACAGCTCATGTTACCTGCATTTTATCAAAGTTGCAATGAAATGATTGTCAAGTGGGAGAAACTAGTATCACAAGAGGGATCCAGCGAGTTAGATGTTTGGCCTCATCTTTCTAGTTTGACAAGTGATGCTATTTCCCGAACAGCATTCGGAAGTAGCTATGAGGAGGGAAAAAAAATTTTCCAACTACAAGATGAGCTAGCACAATTGATAATGCAAGTGTTACAGTCAATTTACATTCCAGGATTGAGGTAATCTAAATTGAGTAGAGAAAATATCTTAACAAACACATTCTTTCTTCCATTTAGTGTGGCTAACACAATTACTTGTTTGGTTATATGAAGGTTTCTTCCAACTAAGAGAAACAAGAGGATGAAGGAAGTTGAAAGACAAATAAGAGCCTCACTCAAAGGTGTAATTGACAAGAGATTGAATGCAATGAAAGATGGTAAGGCTGCTAATGACGATCTACTAGGCATACTTTTAGAGTCAAATTTAAGTGAAAGTAAAGGACTCGATGGAGATGTCGGAATGAGCATGGACGATGTGATTGAAGAGTGTAAATTGTTCTACTTTGCCGGACAAGAGACCACCTCGGTTTTACTTGCATGGACAATGGTTTTATTGTCACAATATCCAGATTGGCAAGCTCGTGCAAGAGAAGAGGTTTTATCCGTGTTTGGTAATAACGAACCAAATTTTGATAGCTTGAATCACCTAAAAATCGTAAGTATCGTTGATATTTTATTACCAGAGAATTAGTAAGCAACATTTTGAATCTTAATTCATTTCTAATGGAAGGCTTGTAATTTTACAGGTAACAATGATTTTGTATGAGGTTCTTAGATTGTATCCACCTGTGCTTTCTCTTGTTCGGACTATTCACAAAGAAACAAAGCTTGGAAATTTGACACTACCAGCCGGGGTTCAGGTGGTATTGCCAACAGCTCTTGTACACCATGATCCTGAACTTTGGGGAGATGATGTCAAGGAGTTCAAGCCAGAAAGGTTTGGCGAAGGAATTTCCAAAGCAACGAGGAATCAGGTCTCATTTTTCCCCTTTGCATGGGGTTCTAGAATATGCATTGGGCAGAACTTCGCTCTGATTGAGGCAAAAATGGCTATGGCGATGATGCTAAAACGCTTCTGGTTTGAGCTTTCACCATCTTATGCCCATGCTCCTTTCCCTGTCATAACTCTTCGCGCTCAGCATGGCGTTCATGTGATATTGCATAAACTCTAGATTGAAAACTTTGCTTTAATAGTGGTCATCAAATTGGTTTTCATGAAATGGTGCTATAAAAATTGTACTGGCACCGTGTTGGTATTGAAAAAAATAAAAAGCCTTAGCAATTTAAATAATATTAGCATGTTTCATTCCCACTATCAAAAATCTTAAATCAATCCGTAAGGCTTCATTTCAGAACGCTTTTGGTGATTTAGTTTTTAATTTTTGTGTTTTTATTAATTTAAAAATATAAATATTAATTAAAATAAATATGAAATATATTTTATATATTACAAAAAAAAAAAAAAAAAAAAAAA